AACCAGACCCCCTCTGGGCTCCCAAGTAGCCCTTTGCCCACCACGAGGCTTAGCTGGGATCCGCGTGGACTCCCTAGCAAACTTTGGTCTGGGTCGTCTTAGGTTTCCAAGGCCTGGCACTCAGTAGTTGCTCAATAAATATTTACTGAATTGAACTGTGTTGACTACAGCAGGAGGCAGAAGACCAACAGGAAGCAAGCCCAAGTGAACAGGTGGGAGCAAGCATTTATTAGGTACCTACTGTGTTCCAGGGGTTGGGCTATGTTTTTTAGAACACTGAGACAGGCATCATTTTAAAGATAAACAGGGACTTCCCTGGTGGCGCAGTGGTTAAGAATCTGCCCGCCAATGCAGGGGACATGGATTCGAGCCCTGGTCTGGGGAGACCCCACATGCTGCGGAACAACGAAGCCTGTGCGCCACAACTACTGAGCCTGCGCTCTAGAGGCCGCGAACCACAACTACTGACGCCCACGTGCCACAACTGCCGAAGCCCGCACACCTAGAGTCCCTGCTCTGCAACAAGAGAAGCCACCAGAATGAGAAGCCCGCGCACCGCAACTAAGACTAGCCTCCACTCGCCACACAACTAGACAAAGCCCGCGCGCAGCAACGAAGACCCAAGGCAGCCATAAATGAATTAATTAAAAAAAAAAAGATAAACAGCTAAGGCTCAGAAAAGTTGAATGACAATTATCTGCTAGTCGTGTTATATGACTTTCTCACGTAACTCTTGAGGTAGATATTTAATTCTCATTTTCCAGGTGAGGAAAACAGAGGCTCAGGGAGGTGTAGCAAACTGACACAGCTGAGTCGGTTGTAGAGCTGAGATTCACACCCAAGTGGGCTGCTCTGGAGCCCTTTTTACCACACCCAAGAGGGCCCTAAAGGTAGTTCCCAGCTGGGAACTGCTGGACATTGGCCTGGAAAGACTTTTCAATCATTTGCCAAGAGGGCGCAGCTGGGACCTGAGTCTCTGATTAGATTCAAGGTGATGTGGCCAGGTTGAACCCTTATGAGAAGGGAGCCTGGGAGGAGACAGAACATGGATTGGATAGGCACCCGCTGCCAGGAGAGCCTTCCTCAGCCACAGCCACACTTCCCTCCCTGTCCCGCCTCAGGGACCCAGCATACCTTCCCCGTTAGACTCCATTCTTGAGGCCGTGTTGACTGTGTCCCCAAAAAGACAGTAACGGGGCATCTTCAGCCCTACCACACCTGCACACACGGGTCCTGGAGGGAGCGGAAGCTCATCAGTGAGGGAAGCCCATCAGTTTAGGGAAGTATGTGGGAGGAACGGAGGGTGGCCACAGGACGGGGCTAGGGCGCTCCAGGAGAGGCAGCAGGTGGGACCTGCGGTCGGTGGGAGCCCAGAGGTGTGGGTGTACGCGCGCACAGGGAGCGGTGGCGACGCGGCCGGCTCGTCTCTCATCTGCTGCTCCAGCCTGTGGGAGCCCCCTCCCCGCCCCTCCGGCGGCCTCACCTGTGTGGATGCCGATGCGCAAGCGCAGCTGCTCCTGGGGCCGGTGGCGGATGCGGAAGGAGCGCACCGCGTCCAGCAGCGCCAGGGCCATGCGGGCCACCTCGCGGGCGTGCAGCCTCCCGTTCCGCACTGGGAGCCCGGACACCACCATGTAGGCGTCACCAATGGTCTCCACCTGTGAGGGCCGCGAGAAGGTGCCGGACCTGAGGACTGGAACTCTCTCCTCCCGGTGCGGCCCCCACACTGTGGGCACCGCCTTCCTGTCCCCACCCCCCTCTACCAGCCACTGTGTTCGCCCATCCCCCATCCCCCGCGCGGTTTTTCTGCCTGTTCCTGGGTCTCCCTGTGACACCTCCCTGTGACACTGCCTTTGTCCATGTCTCTTGGTCTTCCTGCTTAAGACTATGTCATTCTGCCCTCCACATCCGTCTGTCTGTCCCCTCCCATCTTTACTCACCTTGTAGACATCAAAGTTGTCTATGACAGCATCAAAGCAAGTGTACAGGTCGTTGAGCAGGGTCACCACCTGGAAGAAAAGCGAAGCCAAAAGGGGTGGGGAGTAAGGGGCCCCACCTGGGCTCGGGTGGGAAAAGCGGACCGAGAAGGCAGGCCTATGGGATGGAGGTGCCAAGCCAAGCACACCTGGCTGCTCTGACACCTGGCTTACCTGCATGGGCGTGCTCTCCGCCGACAGGGCTGTGAAACCCACAATGTCGCTGAAGTAGATGGTGACGCTGTCAAAGGCTTCGGCCTGGACCGTCTCCCCACGCTTCAGCTGCTCAGCCACTGAGCTGAGGGGTCAGGGACAGGTGCAGGATCAGAAGGTGAGGGGGGCTGGGACAGGGGTGGTGGGAGCACCAAGCACGGGCACTCACTGAGGCAGAATCTGGTAGAGCAGGGCCTCCGCCTTGCGCTTCTCCTCCAGGTAGGCCTGGGTCCGCTCCTCCACCAGCTCTTCCAGGTTGTTGGCGTACTGTTCCATGCGCGACAGCAGGTTATCCAGGATGTTGCTGCTGTTCTCTCTGGGGACAGGGGCGGTGGAAGGGGTGGTGGTGAGAGAGGAGCGGCACGCCCTACCCTGAAGCGCCTCCCCCAGGCTCTCACCCTACCCAGGCTTAATGTCAGCCCACTGCAGTGGGGTCCCTGGAGAGAGCCAGGGTTGGGGGGCACAGCAGGCTGGGGGTGGCAGGGGAAAAGGGTCGGAGGAAACTCCAATTCATCCCTGAGACCCCAGGGTCAAGTATCAAGCTTCAGATGTATTGGCTATTTTGAACATCTCTGTTGAACACAAGTGGCTTAGAAGGAGGTAGAAGAGGCAGAAAGGGACAGGGAGCACTTGAGAATGTAGTGAGGGCACACAGGCTGGCACAGGGGTGTGCCTGGAGGAACCGGCCCCCAGGGGCACACTGGGAAAGGGGATCAAAGGGCCAGGTGGGAGCTCCCACAGAGGGCAGAGAGGTGTAGGGAGGAGGTGGGAGGCCATTTACTCTGCAGCCACTAAAGGCTGATGGAGTAGGAGCCGCTGGAGGAGCGGGGTATGAGAGGTAGGGGACTGTGGGACCAGCTGGGTCCTACAGTATTCACAGAGGGGGCTGTGAGGCTGTGGCGGGCTGGAGCAGGCTGTGTATGCGGGGGCTGTGCGTGGGCTCTGCCACCACAGGGATAAGACTTAAGTGTGAGGCACGCGGTCGCTGTGGGGGGTAGAGGAGCCTGGGAGGATCCAGGACTAATGCCAGCGACCTGTTAAATTTGCGCAGCATCAGGCGGATCTGTTGGAAGGGTGGCCGCTCCTGCGGGTCCTCGGCCCAGCAGCGCTGCATCAGCTGCCCCAGTTCCTCCAGGTGACTCTGCAGGGCCAGGGAGGGCCGGAAGGGGGGCTGCTCACCCCGAGTCACACGCTCGATGATCTCTGTGTGGTGGGGGAAGAGAGGCCAAGGGGTAGGTTCAGCCCGGGGCCTGTTGAGAAACGGGGTGGGGAGGTCCAGGACCAGGGCACGGGGCAGGGGAGCCCTGCAGGGAACTGGGCTAGTCATGCTCAGGGTCACTAGCAGCAGTGGAGCAAAGGGTGGTGGCATTTCCAGGGTTCCCTCTCTCTGGAGCTGGGGTTAGTTGACTGTGGCAGCATTAGGGGAAAGCATGGTCCTCTCACCTTTGGGACTGAGATCCAGACCTTCCACATGGAAGACACCACTCCTCAGGGCAATCTCCTGAAGGATGATCCCAAAGCTGTACACGTCACCAGCCTGGGAGCCCCGGGCAGGGGGTGAGGCCATTCGCAGGAGCTCAGGGGCTGTCCACAACTTTTCTGCAGGTCAGAGGTCAGGAGTCACAGGGTGAAGGGCCCCAAAGCTAAGGGATGAGGGGAAACAAGGTCCCAGAGGATGTGACTGGGACTGATCTGGAGACATCACAGGGGTTGCTAGGGCTAGAAGGGGCCTTGAGACCATTTCGTCTGACTCCGCTTTCTACTGATGATGAATTGAGCAGGGAGTCAGGAAAGGTGGGCCTGAGCCCACCACAGGCCAGGCATCAGCATCCCCACTGGGCTGTGCTGGGGGTGGTGGTAGGGGTCAGAGTCAGGTCGGGGCTCACTGGCATAGAGGGTGTGTCCTTGCTCGGGCTCCGGGTCCCTGAAGCTCTCCAGCCCGTAGTCAGTGATCTTGAGCACGAAGCGCCCGTCTACCACGCAGTTGGATGACTTGAGGTTCCCATGGGAGCAAATGGCCCCATTGTGCAGGAACAGCATACCCTGGGAAATTTGGGGAGGCAGGGGTCTTGGGCATGAGTGAGACCTCCAACCAACCACAGCCAGGGGAGAAGACTGCCTGGCCCCTCCCCCAACACCCAGTGGGCCCTTTTGGGCCTACCTTGACGATGTCATGGGTGAGCGAGTACCGGAACATCCAGTCCAGGGTGATGCTCTCATTCTCCAGGATGTCCTGCTGGGCAGTGAGAGTCAGCCCTATACGCTGCACATGCCCCCAGGAGGAGGAGTGCAGGGGTTCCACTGACATAAACTGGCAGAACGGGACAAAGCTTTGGATCTACTCCAGTGCCACCACCCTCCCCCCCACTCCCATTTTACAGATGGGGAAAATAAAGGTCAGAAAGAAGGAGAGGCTTGCCCAGGGCCTTATGTTGAGTCAGGGGCAGACCCGGGGCTAGACCTAGTTGTCCTGACACTCCCTTGTCGCCTCACCTGCAAGCTCCCACGGGGACAGTACTCTGTGAGGATACAGATGTTGGGGGGGTCAGTGCAGGCCCCCACAAACCTGGTCAGGTGTTCATTCTGCACATCCCGCATCTGCAGGTGAGAGCCAGCATCAGAGCCTGACAGAGACCTCACTCCTTGCCAAGTTGCCCCCACCTTTGGGGACCCATCACTCTCCTTAAGTCCCTATGCATTCTCTGCAGACATTCTAGGACCTTCCCCGGTGATTCCCACTCCTGTTCTAAAGAACCCTTCCCCAGAACCTGCTCCCTACTCCCTCTGCTTCCTAAGCCCATCCAATGGAGCCCCTACAAAATCTCCAGCCCTTCTCCCATCTATGATTCCCCTACTCCTACCCACAACACGCAGGGGCCCATCCCAGGGCTACAGTGCTCATCCCTTCCTAGGATACCCTGCAGTCCCTCCATACCCATTCTGTTGGCCAACCTCCCCTGTGTCCCTAGATTCTTCCCCAGGCCATTGCCTCCCTCCCCACATTACATGCTTCAGCTCAAACAGGACTTCCCGCGTCAGCTCAATGCGTTTACGGTTCACACGTTTCACAGCCACGAGGTTGCCCTGAATGAGGAATGGAGATTGTCACTGTAAGGGGATGGCCCAGCCCTGACAGCCCACCCCTGTGCTAAAACCGTCTCCAGTCCTCCATCATAGGAAAGCCCTGCCCCAGTCCTGAGGACCAGTGGTCTTTCCCCAGACCCACCTTATAATATGCTGTCTTGGCAAAGATTTGGAACTGGCCCTCTGTGGTCAGCAGGGAGCCGTAATTGGAGCCTCTCTGAAGGGATGGAGTGCAGGAGGGGTGGTCAGCCCATGGACCCGGCTCTCCATCCTGGTTGCTTGAGCTCTGGTCTTCACTACCCTGCCTTATCTTTGTGTTGCCCTGCCTCTCATTCCACATCATAAAATCCTTTCCTTATTTATTTACTTTTTAAAAATGTAACTTCAGGGGCTTCCCTGGTGGCGCAGTGGTTGAGAGTCCGCCTGCCGACGCAGGGTACATGGGTTCGTGCCCCGGACCGGGAAGATCCCACATGCCGCGGAGCGGCTGGGCCCGTGAGCCATGGCCGCTGAGCCTGTGTTTTCAGGAGGTGGGGCGTGGGGGGTGAGATGAACTGGGAGATTGGGATTGACATATATACACTGATATGTATAAAATAGATAACTAATAAGAACATGCTGTATAGCACAGGGAACTCTACTACTGCGCTGTACAGTAGAAACTAACACAACATTGTAAAACAACTACACCCCAATTAAAAAAAAAAGTATGCAGAAACTTTCAGATGATTATACAAAAAAACAAACAAATAAAAAAATAAAATAAAATGTATTTTCACATATGCTATCTCTAACTTTTGAAAGAGCCCTGTGAGGGAGCTCTGTAGATGTAATCATTACCTGTGGTAGTCTCAGAGAGGGAATGTGACTTGCCCAAGGTCATACAGCAAGTGAAGGCAGGGCTGGGACTAGAAGCCTGCTCTCTACCCTACCCATCAGGCACTACCCACACGCCCATTCCCAACTCTGCCCCCTCCCCCCAGTACTGGAGTTCTTACCCCGCTCAGGGTCAGCCGGCTGCCTGCACTCCGGAGGTGCCTCTCTAGGCTACTGGGCTGCAGGTCCTCCCAACGCACCCGCCACAGCTCTGAGGCCAGTTCCTTCTCCAGCTGCATCTTTCTGAGCCATGAAATGTGCACCTAAGTCCATGTCTGAGCCCCTGACCCAGGGCTGGGGGGTGCTCAGCAGCCTCTCCTCAGAGCCCTGGGACCACTGCAGTTGCTAAGAGATGGGTGGGGCAATTAACATCCTCTTGGCTGAGAGTCAGGAGGCTTGGGTGAAATTCTGCATCACTGGGGACCTTGGGGTAGTCACTCCACTTCTCTGAGTCTCAGGTTCATATCTAAATGTGCTCATTTGGAAATTGGGGACCTCGACATTTATTTCAAAGCATTGTTACAAGAATGAAAAACTGTGTGTGGAAGTGCCTGGCACACAGTATATGCTTGACCAGCATTGATTTCCTTCTCTCCCTCCTTGCTTCCCTCTGTCTTTAACTTTTCCTGCATTTTCCTGTCAGCCTCCCACTGGAAGGCAGAAGTGGGGCTTCCTTCTCTCTCTCCTCCACTCTGGGTTCAGCACTTGGTACACAGCAGAGCCTTCATCCCTGCTGA